GCTCCTCCTCCTCCTCCACCTTCCTCCGGGCTCATTAAGCATCCAGTCCTATTCGCTATCTTTCGTAGTACTCTGCAACACCCCCCTACCCTCCCTTAGCTGATCCCAGCATTCACACTTCACTTCATTCCACTTTACCGCACCGTGGATAACTTACGAATGCGGTATGGTATACACGGCTGTTGTTGATATCATAGATAGATAGCCAGAAAATGGACCCGGCATTCCGGCTTCCTTTTCAACCCCCCCCCCCTTCCCGCTGGTTTACCGGCTGCGGATGAGTGCTGCACACTCCATACGGTATACGAGATATATGGTACCCTGGATCAGAAAAAGCTTTTATATTACCGGCACCAGTGTAGATTGTCATGGAGCTTGGTAGGGCAGAGCGGAGCAGAGAGCCAGATCGCAGTTACAGCGGAAATCAGTGACTGAAATTGGTGAGTGTATACCGGTATCATGGCTCTCCCGGGCAGCTGGCTAGTTGGCTCACTGCAGGTCGTACAAGTACTATCTAAGTACAAATGCCACTATCACGATCCCCAGCTAGACCACCGGTAAACTATTCAGGGATTTTGCCCAGAAACTCACTTGTCGCGGCACAATATTCCCCCCACCTCCCCCCAAATATCTCCACCTCCCCTACTGCTGCAAGACAAATCCCACCACACCATTAGCCCACTCACCCCCCGCTTCCCCTCCGCAAGCAATAACAAACAGAAACCTAAATTAGCAGGCAGGCGGAAACGTACGAGAACGCGGCAAGACAAAGCTTAGCAAGCGGTTCATGCAACGGATCTCTCCAGACCAAACCTCCACCGCCGAGACATCTGATGATGGCGATTCCTACGGTAACCGAACCCGTTATAACCTCCGCTCCCACTTCCATTGTTCTTGTGCTGCCCTGTCGAGCCCCCCACTGGGAAAGGAAGAGCATATTAATATATGCGAGGTGGGATTACCCACCCGTGAAGGGGTTTTTTTTTTCTTTGGTGATTGTGATTTTGGTTTTTATTATCGCAAGTCGTTGCCGTATTTTTACTCTCCAATATGGAAGGTGGAGGTGGATTGTAGGGAAGGAGGGAGGGAGGTTGTACCTTCCGTTTATTGGGGAGTAGGGCGTGGGGGTTGAGTCGGGCGTGGTGAGTGCCGTGGGTATCATGCCGGTGGGTATACGGTAATTACATGGCCGCGGCAGGTGGGTATGATACCGCACTGTGTGATATTGCCGTGTTATCGTGGGCGGTGGCGGTCGATGACATGGCTCGGCACCCCATTCATTCGATCAGACAACGGGGACGTGCAATTGCTGGAACTCGGAAGCTCGGGAAGCAGCGAGCGGGGAGACGAAATGCTGTACCCAGGTACTCGTACTCGAGTGGGCCGCAGTGGTGGCCTGCGGTGGTTACGGCCAAGGACTATCACTGATATTGCGGGGATGAGGAACGAGAGGAAGCAAGGGCAGCGAGCGGGTATGATACAGTACTCTACCCCCCTCCCCCCCCCATTTTCCCCATCGTTGTGCCATACCATACCGCATCAAACAGAGATCGACTCGTGTCCACCGCATTATATACGACCTCACATTGCACCTTTTGACTATCGCCATCTCATACCGGCACATGGTTCACCCCGCAAAACAAAGGACTATGATATCCCCCCCCCACCAACGACTAGGCCAGACTAGAGCAAACTCTAGGAAGAGGAAGAAAAGCCTGTCAATCTTTGGGTGTTCGGTGAGGAGATGCATACGGTAATACTTGTACCATTCTCCGCGGAACTCATGCGAGGGAGGGTGGTCAAGAGACGCGATATCACCAAGGCAGATAGGGATAGAGCGGGATCAGGTGCAAGCGAGGTGATCATGATGGTCCGGGAAAAGTGGTTTCTCCATTTCTTAATTTTTGACTGAAATAAAAGAGAGAGCGAAAGAGAGCTGACTTGTCAGATCGATACATGGTGGGTTTATGTGGGGTATGGTCACTGCACTCGCACGGCATGAATGTAGCGCGCAATGGATAGCATGAATAGCGCTGTGCTCGTACAGTACAGCAGGGGGTGAAGGGGAAGTGGGGGGTTGGATGTTGGATGGATGGACGGTCCGGTGTGAGCGTGGGGTTTCTCTATCTGCACAGTACTACTTGTACAAATTTCCTGGCGGCCAATCATGTAATCTCTGGTGGACATTTCAGCAGTACAAGTACCGGTACGGCTATCCGGTGTGAGGTACCGTACCCGAACATTTGAGTCTGAATCTGGTATGGGCGGTCAGATGCACACAGACAATTTCCATACGATTTTTGATCCATGCGTTCGGGTACCCCATGCTCGTACAAGTACCTCCCTGTGCTACCTAAATGCTATTCACAGTACCGGTACATGTGCTCGAGTACGAGGCGGGTCAAGCACTCCAAGGAACCCCGATTGAAGATAGTGCGTGCCTATTGATTTGCAGCGGTACCATACGGTGCTGTGGCACCATGCGAAGGTCCAAGACAAGAAACACCGATACTTGGGAGAGATAGAGCCTGCAAGTTGGTTCCTCGGTTCTTGTATTCCATTAGATTGTTCTGGGGAAAACGAAATGGGACAAAAAACATGTTGGACAACATATGCTTGATATCCCTGTCCTCGGGTTCCCAAAACGACACGGTTGCGCCGAGGGAAATAATTGGCCGGCAATGTGAGTGCCTTATGCTCAAGTACTGGCCAGGGCATGCAGTGCATCGTTACTGGTCTCGTGGATCCATCCAATAGTCATCGATAAACACCAAACGAACTCTTCTGAGTAGCGGTGTCTCTCACACCGAACCTGTCGCCCCCAAACGGCCCGGTAGATTTTTTTTCCTGAACACAACATCTTGCTTCTCCTAAACCGTCTAATTGTGCGCCTCCCCACCCCTTGTGGGGTAACAAGCTTTTCTTCCAAGCTTGCCAAGATGGTCCCAGTCCCCAAGAAACAGATGGTACCCGCACCACAAAAAGTAGAGAATAAACAAATAAAGAGTAAAAGAAAAAAAAGACTACGAGTATCATAGCAGTACAGGCCCTTGGTGTGAAGCAAACGAATCACGTGGTCGATTCTTCCTAATAGTTCTCCCAAATCACTGGCGGCAAGACCGTCCGGATGACCGCCCAGTGCCCTAGAGCGCTCGTTTCCTGCCAACCAATAAGCGTGTCAATGTTGGACTCGCTAAGAAGGGTGGGTCCACCCGACACCCCAAAATACTGATCGAGATTTATCTCGAATTGAGGGAAGAGGAAGTTCCTCCTGGCAATCGACCCCAAAATATCGGCATCAACCGGTGCACGGAACGTGTAGGGGTCCGAAGAACGGGTGCAAAAGATAACCTAAAATCCCAAATGATTGGTGACAGTTAGCGGAGCCAGGAATGGGGGGGGGCAACCAAGCTTTTTCGGTTGGAGGGGGGGGGGATGCACAGAAAGGGCAAAAAAAGAAAAAAAAAGAAAAAAAAAAAGGAATGGTCAATGAATCATGCTCAGCTCTCCGGAAAAGACGGCATGGAGAAAAGTGGAGAAGAAAAGGGCAAAGAAGAAAAAAAAGAGCTGCACCCATCGGTCGGATTCGTGACTATACAGTGCCGTACTCGTACAGTAACAATGCCCAGGGTTCGAGAGAGACAGGGTCCCAGCTATCTGCCTATCAGGACTCGCCCCACCTTCCGCGGGGTTCGCCTTTGGGCAAATAGCCGAGAAGTAGGGTCCAGCCTGACCTAGCCCGGGTAACAAGAAATGTGTCGTGAAATCGTGGGAGAGGAAGAGGACGGAACTGGGAAACCGGGTGGACCCAGGAAAAGGGCAAACAGAATGCCCTGAACAGGGTTCAAAGATCCCGTAGCACAGTCCAGGTAAGGGCCCGGAAATCTTGTCGAGCAAACAGAAAAAGAAGCGCGCTTGGGATACGAATACCCAATGTGGTATTGCGATGTTACCTTGACCCGAGGAACCCGAGAAAATGAAACAAGGAAGGGAGAAGAACAGATCAATGCTTGACGCGGGCGCATATTATAAGCTATTTAAAGAGACGGGGGAGAGCATTGAGGAACCAGGAGTTGTTAGGGTTGTAAATAAAACTCACCATGTTGGTGAAGTCAACAGCGGCTTTATCGGTGTCCTCTTCGGGCATATCCTCCCTGAAAACCCTGCAGCCATTGAATACCGTTCGCACGGTTTCAACGATCGACTTTGCCGCCTTCAACTTCAAATCACCGGCCCAATTCTATAAATCACGTGATTAGTAACTCCGATAGCACAGCACCAATACAGCTACTCCGAACCCCGGTCCCATGGGGAAGTTATCCAAGGGTTCAAGACGTGACAACTCTTCGGGTTGCCGTTCAAAGTAACCGAAAGATTAGGGGCTCAGGGGTAGAGCTCACAATTGCGATGACACCATCCTCGGAGAGAAGGTCCCTCAGTCCAACAAAGAATTCCATGGTGAACAGGCTCGCGGGAACAGCCCCACCAGTAAAAACGTCATGTAGGATATATTCATACTTCTTCCTGTCCTTGCCCTTGTTATTGTTCTCTCTCTTAACAAAAGTGATGGCATCTTCAATGTATGCCGTGTGATTCTCTTCAAGTTGGAAGAACTCTGTCGCATATTGGTGGACTACGGGGTCTAGCTCAACAACATCTGTCTCCACTCCATGAGCGATCAGCCCGTTCACGGCCGTGCCAATTCCTAAACCACTATAAGCGGACAATAGTGGTCAGCCCCACCACATCTATCCAGAGTAACCTTGGGATTATGAGGATATACATAGCTAGCGCCTTCGGGTTGGGGTTCTTCGGAGGTGGGTCAACCAGCCGGACGGCTTCCAGCATCACAAAGATAGCATAAATTGGCTCCTTAACGCCCTGGCTCACGTACTCGAACCCTGGAGGGGGGCTCTCCCACACTCCACCCAATAGGGAATGATCGCAGCGCAACACTCTGAAATTTTGATGATTGTGTTGAAGCACAGAAATATAGCCTGTATTCGACTCCTGACGAGCTAGAAGGGTATAATTTGAGGCTGCCAATGTTTCATTGAGCCCAGCAGTAGGGGTGCACATGCTATTGTACATGCTTGTATGCAAGATTGCAGGAATAGCTGTGAGGAACAAGAGGGAAGGAGACACCAATGCATAAATCCCACCAGCCAGGTTTGGGAGCCCGCAACGGGTGAGAATCCATGACGACCCGATGCGGTTCACAAGGTGTTTCGAAACCAATGACCGTATGTTCCAGAAGCACGCGGCAAATACGCCCGCCACGATTCCATCTGCGGCAAGGTTTCCAAAATTTGCCAGATGAGCTGTAGAGTAAACTGTCAAGAAGAGCAGAGGGTAAAACGTCACACCCTCGGTGATTATCGGGCCCCAGAAAGGACCCCAGCTGTCGGAGTGCCTAGCGAGAGTCCGTTGAGCAGCAGGCACATAAAGGGATAGAACAGGCAGCAGATTCCTTGCTCTAAATGGAAGTTTAAATGGAAGGTATTTCGCAACCCACGCTGCCGCAAACACAAAAGCCGATATCTTCGAGTGATAAAGCGACGTCGGGATCCCACCGTAAACAGGCGCTAAAGCTATTTGGGAGGCATAAGACATGATTGAGGCAGTTGATAGAAGGACAACAGCCTTAAAGAGGGCAAGCAGTTTCGAAAAACCCAGAGTGATGGGGAAAACCGGTGAGTTTCGTGAAGCTTGGGCTTGTTTTGCCATAGCTCGCATGCCTTTCGCGGAAGGCCCGGAAGGTGTGGTTACTGCGATTAAGAGTTCGCTCGCCGGTCAGTAGAAGGCGAAAAACTAGTGAGGTTTAAAATGCCTCTTTAGCTCCAGAGCTCCGAGATCCGATGGTGTTAGAAGGTGTGTTTATCAAAGGGTTTTTCAGAATTAAGAACGACAAGGCCAGCGTGTCGATGGGTAAAAGAACTACTATAGAGGTCGAGAAAACGCGTGATGGAGAGAAGCAACTGTGTTGCCGTGGGGGTGTTGGAGGTGGATGTAGGATGCCTTCCTGGAGAGCTGGAGGAAATACCGTACGGCAAAGGGGAGGGGGGGTAGGATCAATTCCAGCGCATAGGCACCGAGCTTCCCCTGAACGAAGGTAGGGTGCCACTTGGCGCCTTGGCTCACGGCATGGGGCAAGCGGCTGCCAACATAGATTTGAAACCTTGTAATTTAGTTTCATCCATCAACATTCCCTACAAGCATCCCCCCGGCTCGATCGTTCTGCTTCTCTTCTTTCACTTCTACAACGCTTCTAGACGCTATTTGGTCTCACCAACTTCCCCTTTCCCCTCCTCGCCCATGCCTGGAAGAATTGTCAATGAAATGGAAGTCGACCCTCCGGCCTTGGCAAGCGGACCAGAGCTCGTCGAAACAACTAACCAAGGTCAACCCTCGACCGCCTACGAACTGCGCTCTAAACCATACTGACCACTTCCGCGAAGAAGCCGTCCAAGGGGAAGATCCTTATTCTAATCCAGATCGAGCACGACGAGCTACAATCAGGAATAGACGGTAAATAAGCCACCTACCTATCTATTGTGCTTTTTTCAGCCCTAAACGGGGAAGCGCCTCGAAGCGTTCCCCTCATTCCTCCGATGTACATGCCTATCGCGAGCCAAAGGAGAAAACGAAGCTTACCTCCGATCGTGCCCAAGTTAAAGCCTAAACTACATCTCCAAGAATTCATCAACATACTTCTCTTCCCCTGATCTAGAGCTCGCCGACCCACTGCTATACGATAGGTTAATCCGCCACTATCAAACGCCCTCCGAGCGGGAAGCAGAAGGCCGGAGTAAGGGTTGGTCTGGTATACTCGAAGCCGACATAACTCGCTCAGAGGCCAAAGTTGAGGCGCTCCGCGAAAATCCCCGGGAGACACTGGAGTCGCGGGCAGAGACGAATCAGGGACAGACGGTATCGTCGAAAGAGGAAGCCGGGCAGGTGTGGCGGGAGACCATGACACTGCGGTTCCTGGAGGGGAGGGATGAAGAGGCGGACTATGCGGCTATCGACGGGAACGAGGAGTACGATGATTATAGGCAGATAGAGAGGGATGCTCAGGATGCCTACTTTGATGCCGAGAGTCCGTCGGTGGAGGGGTCCACAACCGGTGACACCGGTGTTCAAGATTTCTAATAAGTGTTGGCTCCTTTATGGTAATTATGATATCAGGTACAAAAGTCGATCAAATTAGATCATCATCTAAAGAGGTGCTCTTTCCCGGCCTATCCCATCATTTCTGAGACTCTCCAATGCTTCGTCTCAACTTATGGCACATCGGTTGATACCGAAACCGGACTATCGGGTTGCGATACTAGGGCCGGAATGAAGGCCTCCCAAATACCCACCCCTAAACTGTTGAGAGTATATGGGCACCAGGAGATGATGTGATCATGTGCATCTTCCTGAATAGAGATGTTGAGTGTTGAGGAGAGATGATTCTTGGTGTGGTGTACACCATTGGGGATGAGGGTTTGAATGCCTGAGGGGCACAAGGTTGGAGCAAGCAGTCACATGTTGTTCGGTGTCTTGTAATTAGCTGGGAGCCTCGCTCCTGAGATTAGCAACGAAGTTCCTTTCTCCTCCATCACGATAGTCTGTGTGTTTGTCCATCGATCCCACCTCACAACATAAACAGCGTAGGGACACTGCAGCAACACCGGTGCGATTACCAACAATCGAAATAAATAGATAAAATCAGGCTCCTAAACCCCAGTGCCAACGTTTTCCCCCCAATATCTCCCCGGGACGCTCCCGAGAACCAAACACACAGCCCCGGCATTGGAAATGCCGGGCCACAACAATTTGAGATCACTCTATCCACCACCAGTAACTCACATGTCCTGATTATCCAGACTGGAAAGAAAAAAAAAAGCCCCCCCGAGACGACCAAAGGGGCAACACCCTCTTTTTTTAACGTCATAAATTATCACTCGATATCATATTTATATGGTAATTCATAAAGTACGGAGCCCACTAGAGCCGCTGGGGGACCTATAACCGAGACACACTACTGTACTATACTTGGAAGAGTGGCTATCAGGGGGCATGTATCGTGCAAACATCTAGACCCTGTAATCCCACCCTCGTGTCAGAACAAGAGGACCAACGCTTCGGCACCGAACGTCAGGATCGGTGGAATATTAACGTACTACCCCCCGGCGGAAACCTCAAAAGCCTAGCAGTCACTTGTTGAGACTCCCTACCTATTTCTACCCATAGCTCTAACCTGGTACCCGCCCAGTTTCTACGTTCCCCCCGATTTAGTTCCACAGATAGGAGGTTAAGTGTGTACTTTACATTAGTGGAGGTAGGTAAGGAGGAAGTATGGTTCTTGCCAGAACGCCTGGGCCGTTCTCCAGGTCCGGATGGACACTGTTGAGGCTTGGTGGCCATTGGTTGTCTGGTTGTAGCTGTTCCAAAAAAAAATCGTGATTAAGTAATGTGGGTTTGGCATATCGTAGCGCTTGCGGGGCCCATGGGGATCTCAGGTGGGATCGGGGGTCACAAACAATTTATACGCCGCCCCAGCTGGAATCCAGAATGCCCAACCTAATCCTACCCTTACCATCGCCATATCAAGACGAGAGCTAAGTTCGGGTGTAATTTGCGCTTCATAACCCCTTATGAAATGACCACAATAATCTATATATAATATGCACAATATTGTCTATCAAAAGAGTGTGATATGAGGATCTAATAGCCCATATAACCAGATCTCTTCCCTCTTGCCCCCCACCACCTCAGAACCACGGTGAGTCCTGTGCGGCATGCTAGGGGGAACTGAAGGAAGCAAGGAATAACGCAAAATATAAGAGGGAAACAGAACCAAAAGAGATCTCCGACTGGGCTGGAGATACAAGAGAAATCTTCAAGCGGTGTTCCCGACAGTCCGGCGGGGACTGCCAAGATCCAGGGAGGAGACTGGATGCCTTCCAACGGTCCGTTCATGGCAGTGATTTCTTAGCACGAGCACCCTTGGCTCAGACAGTAGACCTGTAGGTGGTGGCAAGGAACGCGAGGGGAGTGTTCAAGACAGCGGGGGGGGGGGCTGCAAGAGTGGTGTCCCGTGATTGCAACCCC